GACTGATGCCTGAGAAGTTCACATCTCATTACCTTTTAATTGGCTTTCTTGAGCAAGTCGGTCTTTTGTTTCAAGCCCATCTTGGCCTCATTTATGCAATAATTGCTGTCAATAAGATGGAGCTCATTTTTGCCATCAGACTTAACGATACTATTGTTGAAAGGAAGAGTAGGTTTTTTTAATCGTGTATAGAATTTATGCCCAGCAAACAAGAGGGAATGCTATAGAGATGCATTCACCCTATTGCATTTAAAGTGATGAAGGACTGGTAGTTGAATTTTTCCCCAACCATATGAATAGGGCTGACGCTTCCATTGAATTTAACAGAGCCTTGACTTCCCAAAAGGTGTTCTCACCCCGGCTGGAGTGGACTGCCGTTTCGACCTCACCAAGGTCTTGTCAATACCCCCCAGCGAGAGCTGAACCATGACAGTGCAGCGTGTGATCGCAGCACGTTAACCACTACGCCAGATTGCCACGAATAGCCTTAGGTCACAGGTCCGATATGATGTTCATACAAGGCCAGGCATTTTACAATATCATCTTCTTTGGTGGGATTGTCGAAGGATCAAATTTTCATTTGCTATGATAATAGACTGCATTACTTATTTTTCGTTCATACATCTCATATAACTGATTTCCTGGTAGTCTCGAAATCTTACTTATGAAATAAAAATAAGTAATGTAGTCTATTATCATAGTAAATGTAACATTGCTTCTTCGACAATCCCACCAAGGAATATGATATGGTAAAATGCCTGGTCTTGTATGAAATTCATATCTGCCATGTGACTCAAAGGTACTCGTGGCAATCTGGCGTATTGCTTAACGTGCTGCGATTACATGCTGCCCTGTCATGGTTCGGCTCACGCCGGGGGTATTGACAAGACCTGGGTGGGAACACCTTTTGGGAAGTCAAGGCTATGTGAAATTTAATGGAAGCGTCAGCTCTACTTATATGATTGTAGGAAAATTCAACTACCAGTCCTTCATCAACTTAAACGAAATATGGTGAATATATGTCACATAACGGATTTACTAGTAGTCTAGAAACCGTACCTATGAACGAATAGAGTGAATGCTCTTTGGGTCTTTATACGGTGGGCAAAGTGTGGGTGAGACAGTACATAATACACATAAGGCTTGCTCGAGTGAGACGGTGGCCATATTTTTAAGCATCATCAAGCATGTGAAAGACTAATTATCCTCTGATAGATTAGGCCAAGATCTGACAACAAAACAGGGGGGTATGTTTGTGTCACCCCATCAGCATGCCTTGTTTAGACGCTAATGCAATCATATAATGATTTTGTTAGTGATAAGGACGAAGCATGTCATGTCCGGGTGAATTGACCTGTCTAGACGGCAAGGAGCTTGGCTTAAAAACAAGGCAGTAAGAGTAAAATTGTGTAAAATGCGATAAAACCTCCATAAAATGGACTTGTTTTGCCATCTAGCAACCTTACTGGGAATGTCTACACACGTACGCGTACACACGCACACACACCACACACACACACAATTATACATACATTCATACACACATGCACAGACGTTCGGGGCAGTGATCTGGCCATAATTAAAAACGAAGTCCTTTCTTGTCTATTGAAAGGCACCTCTCAACGCGAACAAGGCTCTGCCACAGTTGTTGTTGTGACTGTTGAGCAGAGACGGTGTAAGTCTGCGTCGATTCGATGTCGAACTGGTAAATGCGTCCTTGGCGATACAGGATACGGCGTGGCTTTGTTGGCGAAGCTGCCTATGCCGCTTGCCTCAAAGCGCTTCTTTAGCTGTCCGGAACTGTAGACGCTTCCGGTACCAGGCCACATCAGCATTCCAAATGGACATCGAAAGGATGATGTTGATGTAACAAGACTGCAAGTTGCCATGTTATCTTTCTCATCAGGTGTCATAACAACTTCACATCCTCTTCTTGCCCGCTACAGAAAAGCAGGTCTGATGGGATACCTTCTAATTGTCGGACCATGTAGCCCCAAAGAGGTGTACAGTCGTCCAAATTATGTTTGATGTTTCACCTATGTTTGTCAAATGAGTACCAGAAAAATCACCTTCATAAAGATGCCATAATGAAGAATTAAAAGAATATAAATCACCCATAACATTATTTAATTTATATATATGTGTATATATATATTCCATTTTGAGTGAAAATGGGCGATAAAGAATGCTTAGTTTGGCTCCAGCAGAAGACAAAGAGGAGATTTTTCTCAGCCAACTGTGTTTAACTTTGCTGAAACATTCTGGATGATGCTGTCCTCGAGATAAATTTGTTTGGTCCTAGTGAAAACTTGATGACAATTAACGGACATCAATAGATTAAGAAGCTAGTAACCTCAGGTCGTTTAAGTTTACCTAAAACCGAAAATGGTGATACTGTCGAGTCCACTTAGATTTTTAGTGAAAATGTGTGCTGGAGAGATTCGAAGTTTGGTCTCATCAGAAGACAATGCTCAGCTTTAGGTCCGCTTTACTAGAGCATTCTTGTTGATGCTGCTCCGGTTAAAACGTGCTAAGCTTCCATCCGTCACTTAAGAGATATCGTCAAAACAGTGCCTGATTCTTGCAGCCATATTTAAGTTATATGAGATGTATTCACCCAATTTCGTTTAAGGTGATGAAGGACTGGTAGAAAAAGAATTTTCCCACAATCATATGAGTTGAGCTGACGTTTCTATTTGAATTTCACATAGCTTTGCTTTCCCAAAAGTTGTTCTCATCCAGGGTGGACTGCAATTTCGACCTCGTATTGGTCTTATCACGAAAAACAATACTTTTTTTGAAAAATAAAGTATAGTAGTAGTATAGTAGTAAAACATACGTTTGCTTCATCGAGACTCTCAACAAAAGAACATGATATGGTAAAAAGGCCTGGCCTTCCTTGAAAATTCACATTTGCCTTGTGACCCAAAAGACGCTCGTGGCAGTGTAGC